TCAAAGTGGAAGGGAAGTTCCCTTGTAGTTTCTCGGTTTGGCATCAAGAGGTTCTGGGACCATGATGGAGCCTAGACACAACACAAGGCCCCAGAGGTTTCCCTTCCTCAACTCTCCCCCAGGCTACTGAGCCTGACCCCAGGATTTCTCTGAAGGCACCTTCACCCCATGGATGTCCTCCTCAAGGCCAGCATCTCAGCCTGAGTCAGACCACAGCCCCGCCCCTGCAAAGCAGGAGCGAGTAGAGAAGCAGCGCCGCCTTGTGACCATAGCGCCGAAAAATACTCACTCTGAATGATGCTTCCTAGCAGGAAGTTCTCCAGGGCTCCCAGCAACAGGACATGCTATGCACACCAGGGGGCGCCCTATCTGGCCTCAGGTGCTGTGTCTGGATAGTTTCCCTAAACATACATATGTTTGCGGATCCTCCTCATTTATAACTGTGAGCACTGGCTTCAAGTGTGATTAAACAACATGTACATGACAAATCCTTGTTAATAATATTGTAAACCAAAAATCTTAATCGGTAACCTTTTTTAATAAAAATATACAACAACAGGGGCTGGAGCGATAGCACAGTGGGTAGGGCGTCTGCCTTGCATGCAGCCAACATGGCCGACCTGGGTTCGATTCCCAGCATCCCATATGGTCCCCTGAGCACCGCCAGGAGTAATTCCTGAGAGCATGAGCTAGGAGTAACCCCTGAGCATCACTGGGTGTGACCCAAAAAGCAAAGGAAAAAAACAATAACAACAAAAACAACTTCAGTTCATAACTACTCTACTCAGAGCTAGAGTGAGCTGCAGACGCGTACTGGAGCCCTGACTATGCTGAGATGAGATATTGATCCCAGGTCTCTGTCACTTATTCCTGCTGCTGCTGATTTCACTGTAATCAATTCTAAATTCTGTTTCCATCCCTAGGATGAAGTGGAGGATAAAAGAGGTTGAAAGCCCCAGGGCCCTGGACTGGGAATATAGGGTGAATGTCTCATTAAAAAAGTGAAGGAGGGAGGAAATAGTGACTTTAGGGGATGGAGACCAAATGGGGTCCGGAGGGAAGAAGCAGAGGAAAGGGGTGGGGCAGGGCCTGCTGGTGGAAGCCTGTGGAGAGCGTTGCATTTGGTGAAGATCAGGGACAGGAAGCAATGGGTAGGGGTGAATTTGTTGCCTGGAGGGTACTTATTAGAACAGGAGTTAGCCCTGTAATTCACTGGTATGCTACAGTTAACTTTCAGGCATTTCCCCACACTTCGGTTCCCATACTTAGAGTTATGTCATATAACTCAAACACACAGGGAAGAGTAGAGGATAGAGGAAAGGAGACGAAGGGAAGGGAAGGGAAGGGAAGGGAAGGGAAGGGAAGGGAAGGGAAGGGAAGGGAAGGGAAGGGAAGGGAAGGGTAGGGAAGGGTAGGAAGGGGAGGGAAAGATAGGAGAGGAGAGGGGAGCTCTATGGTTTCTTTCTCCACACACCCTTTCTTAAGGGCACAAGAAAAATAACCTAAGGAAGGGAGGGATACCCAGATGATTATGGGCCTATTTTAAATTCTCAGTTTAAAATTCAAGATTCACTGTCACTGTTATTGTCCTCCTGTTGTTCATAGATTTGTTCAAGTGGTCCCAGTAACGTTGTGAGACTTGTTACTGTGTTTGGCATATCGAATACGTCCGGGGTAGCTTGCCAGGCTTTACTGTGTGGGTGAGATACTCTCAGTAGCTTGCTGGGCTCTCCGAGAGGGGCGGAGGAATTGAACTTGGGTCGGCCGGTTAGCCGCCTGCAAGGCAAATGCCGTACCTGCTGTGCTATCTTATAAATAAATATATCTTCAGTGGTTTTGGTTCCAAAGGAAAGAACTGTCTTGTTTCCAAAGAAGGAGAATTATTGGTGGAGAGACTGGTGTTGAAATATTAACTACAGTAACTATAAATCATGGTTCTTTAATCACTTGATCACTTGACATCCAGTTACTCAGCAATTTACTCGAGCGGGTGCCAGTAATGTCTCCATTCATCCCTGTCACGTGACAGTGTAGCCCAATGGAGTCTGCTCATTCTAGGAACAAAAAGAGCCTCAAACCAATTGTTCAGAGTCTTGACGTAGAAGACTGACCATCTCATAGGTGGGTGGCCACGTGATCTTTTGACATCCCATGGAATCCAGTTGTTAATGGCTCTAGTCCAGCGGTCATCTCCAAATCACATTACATGTCCAGTCCATCTGATTTTCAACGCCTTGGCAAAGGAGACAGTGTCCCTGATTCTTGACCTTCGACGGAGGTCGGAACTCTGGATTCTTTCTCTCAACTGAATGAAGTGTGATACTCCAAGCATAGCTCTTTCGATTCCTCTTTGGGAGACCCGAATAGCGTTCTCATTCTGTTTTCTAGGGCCCAGGTCTCTGAGGCGTATGTTAATGCAGGAAGAACAGTGAAATCGAAGAGATGTGCCTGGAGCCAGAGGTTCTTCATCCTCTTAGCTATTTCTTCGACCCTCTTGAAGGTGTTCCAAGTCGCTCTCCTCCTCCTGCGCAGTTCAGGTGCCAGGTCATTTCAGATGTTAATTTTCTCCTTCCTTCCTTCCCTCCTTCCTTCCTTCCTTCCTTCCTTCCTTCCTTCCTTCCTTCCTTTCTTTCTTTCTTTCTTCCTTTTTTTAAGTATTTTTTGGTCACACCCAATGGTGCTCAGGCCTTTCTCCTGGTTTGTACTCAGATCACTCCTGGTGGGCTTGTGGGATCATATGGGGTGCTAGAGATTGAACTCGGATCAGTTGTGTACAGAGCAAACACCCTACCTGCTTCTCTGGCCCCCAATAATATTATACAGTCTATTTCATGTTAATATTAAAAATATCTGTAACAGGGGGCTTGAGCAATTGGACAATGGGGAAGACATATGCCTTGAACACATCCAACCCGGTTTGATTCCCATCATCCCATATGGTCCCCTAAGCACCGACAGGGCAATTCCTGAGATGAGAGCCAGGAGAAACCCCTGTGCATAGCCAGGTGTGACCCAAAAAGAAAAAAAAGAATCTGTAACAGTATATGAACATAAATGACCAATCATATCTATTTTGTTTGTTGTTAAAACCATATTGACAGGAGGAAGGAAAAGAACAAAGACCTTTTTTGGTGAAGTATTGGAGCCCTGCTCCAGTGTTAAAAAATGTCAGATGAAGGCAGAATTGTTCTGAGAGGGGGTTCAGATCTCTGCCTCCTGAATTAGAGCTCACAGACTGAGATTTGGAGGGGAGAGATGCTCGACCAGCCATTGTCTGGGACCCCAAGGAGATATGCACCCCAGTGGAGACTGTGTGACACTGAGTGAGGAGCCCCCGCCAGCTCTGGGTTGTCTTAAGACACTGGGTTCACCCAACCAGCTTCCAGTGCTGAAGAGGGACCCTCCAAAATATTGTGCTGCTCACACTGGCAGAGGCAGATCACCCACGCAAATCCCTGTTCCTCAGTGACATTGTCAATGACTTCTGGCTGTTATCCCAGGAGGGAAAGTTATTCCATGGGACACTTAACTGAATGCAGACCCTAAGGAGTTTATTAGTGTGGTTTGAACCCGTGCAATTGATTCATTTACTCAGGGACCATTTTTCCTACCTTTGTGGGCTTGGATATAAAGGTCATCTATGTGTTTTAAAATTCCCAGTTCCATATGCTGTTCTAATTTTATATCTAGCTAAGAGGTTTTGAGAAAAGATTATTAGAGTTATTGCCAACTTGTAGTTTAAAGTTTGTGATCAAACAACTCACATGCACTGTAGGACGAAGCTACCTGCGTGACGCATGTTGCTCCAGTGCCCAAATCTCCATTTGATCTCTATGCATCTATGATGAAAAGTGTCAGGAAGTGACAACATTCCAGCTGCTTTACCACATTTTCAGCCTCTGTTTATACTCTTGGAACTGGACAGTTCACCTAGATAGGAGTCAGAAATCCTACGTTTGCATCCTTGCACAGGTCTGTCCCCTGGTTCTCTCAAAACCTCTCCGGGATAGACTCAAATCAAAACAGAAAACACATGGAAGGTCTCAGGATTTCCATTTGTTCCTTCTCAAATTTCAGGGATTTCCTTTATTAACCCTCAATCCTACAAAACAGGAATTAGTAAAAAGCAAATCAGATGCTTATTTCAGTAAGGAAGAAACATTATTCAGGAAAAGAAGAAGCGAACACAGATAGAGCTGGCTGAGCCCTGTCTCTGCTGACACAACCCAGAGCATCAGCAAGAGAACGCAGGTCAGTCTGGAGGGCCCAGAGAGAAGGGGTGGGACAGTCTCCCCCTCTCACAGTGTGTGACAGAACAAAAGACACTTTCAGGTCCCAAGGCAGAAAGAGAATCAGCAGTTCTTGAATCACAACACTGGGATGTGAGGAAACCCAGTGGGGCAGCTGTCTCACGCTGTGAGAGAAAAGAATGAAGAGACTCAGGTGAGTCACAGAAGTGGTGACATCCTGAGAAGCTCCCAGCATCCCTCTCAAAGAACGGCCAAACCCCAATCCTGTCCCCTCTGCCCAATCCTGCCCACTCCAGCCTCCAGAGTCTCAGCTCAATGGCTCCTGAGAGACTCATCAGAGCCCTGAAAACTGCCACTGTCTGGGGGGGAACAAACAGGAGATGGTCAGAGCCCCAGGGGAAGGGACTAGAGGAGGAACTACAGGTGCAGGAGCTCCCCATGGGCTCCGGTCTCTGTCCCCAGGATTCCAGGGCCCCAGCCCTGCCCAATCTTACTTGCAGCCTGAGGGTACTGTCCTCCATTCTCACCTGCAGGGAAGAACCAACCAGGGAAGGTCAGGGAGAGCATTGGGTCCTGAGGCCACTGAGCAGCTCTCTAAGCCCAGACCCCAGGGAAGCCTCAGAACTCTGAAGACTGAGGGCAAGACCAGGAAACACACATAAAGGAGACGCTCCTGGATTGACCAGCCTCCCCTGGCAGTCTGTGCTGAGCAGGGACAGTCCCTGGGACCTGGTACCGTGGGAACCAGGTTCATCCGCAGCTTATGAAGGTGAAAGTGTCTTTCCTGAGCAAACCTGAGAGCGGCACACACAGGGGGAGTGTGAGCAGCAGTACAGGGGCGGGTGGTGCTATTGCTAATAAGGCAGAAGAACTAATATGGGGGGACCCCCAAAGTGGACAAGACTGAAGACTTGCCAAGTTGGACAGATTCCCCCTCCCCGCCCCCGCCCGTCTTACCTGAGCGCCGCTTCCTGGTGATCACAGCTGCCATCACAGCTCCAGTGACCACAACCCCGAGGAGAGCCAGGCCAACAATGATGCCCACAGTGAGGATGGTGGACTGAGAAGGGGGCTCTGGGAAGGAAGGAAGGAGAGGGTCTGACCCCCAGCCTCAGCCTGACCCTCAGCAGTTCCCCAGAGGGGCCAACCCTGATTCCCCTGAGAACAGTCTCTGTGCCCTGTCCCCCTCCTTACCCCATCTCAGGGTGACAGGCTCCGGCAGCCCCTGGTGCTGCACACGGCACGTGTATCTCTGCTCCTCTCCAGAAGGCACCACCACAGCTGCCCACTTCTGGAAGGTTCCATCCCCCGAAGGCCTGGTCTCCACCAGCTCTGTGTCCTGGGTCAGGTCCTCCCCATCACGCTGCCAGGTCAGAGTGATCTCGGCAGGGTAGAAGCCCAGGGCCCAGCACCTCAGAGTGGCCTCATGGTCAGAGAAGGGTTGGTGGGTTATGTGTCTCCTGGGGGGTTCTGAGGAGGGAAAATGAGAAAATTCACACTTTGGGTCACTTCCATAATGGGGTTGAACAGGATCATTGGTTTGGAATAGGAGGCAAAACTCCAGACACAAACTTGGCTGGAGAAACTGGATAAAATCCTATTGCTTGGAAAGTTCTAGAACAGGGTTTGGGAAGGAGGTCAGGGTCTTTCGAACACACTGACTCTGGTCCTGCCCTGGGAGGAGGTTCAGTGAGAGCAGCAGGAGTCAGAGCGAAGACCTGAGGGATTTCAAAGATGGCGGCGGGGTCCATGGAACCCACATTCGTTATTTCAGAGGAGGTCACCCCTCCCCCAGGGGACACTCGGGTCCTTCATAGTCCTGTGGACACAGGGTGGGCTTGAGGGGAGGTCAAGTCCCTCTGGTACAGAACATGGAAACCAGGCGGGTCCGTCCCTCTCCTGACTGAGGAAGGGGCGCTGTTCTGACACTGAACCCTCTTGTGTCCCCCCTTGTCGGGAGTCGCCCCCCCAGGGGCGGTCAGGGGTCCTCACCCTCGGGGACCCGGTACCTGCGCGCAGCAGCGTGTCCTTCCCGTTCTCCAGGTATCTGAGGAGCCAAGGCACGCAGATGTTCTCCAGGTAGTTCCTCCAGTGCTCAGCCTCATCCCCCTGCTCCCACTTTTGCTGGGTTTGCCAAGCCTGCGTGCCCGCCACCGCGGTCCAGGAGCGCAGGTCCTCGTTCAGGGCGATGTAGTCGACGCCGTCGTAGGCGGATTGGTAGTACCCGCGCAGGAGGCGCCCGTCGGACCCCACGTCGCAGCCGTACATCTCCTGGAAGGTGTGAGAGTCTGACCCGCCCCACAAAGATTAGACTCGAACTGAAAACGAAACCGAGGCCAGTCCCAGAGGCACCTCCCGGTCAAGGTCGGGGGCGGGTCCCTCAGACTCGGGGATGCTCGGACCCGCCTCGGGGCGACCTAGCCCGTCCCCGTGTTGGCCCGTCCCTGCCCGGCTGCGCTCACCCGCCTCGCTCTGGTTGTAGTAGCCGCGCAGGTTGCTCAGGCTCCCTCGGTATGCCTGCGCATGTCTCTTGGCTCTCCGCGTGTTCCGCTCCCAGTACTCGGGTCCCTCGTGCTCCACCCACGGCGCCCGCGGCTCCATCCTCAGACTCGTTGAGTCGCTGTCGAAGCGCACGAACTCCGTGTCGTCCACGTAGCCAACTTCGATGTAGCGGGGCTCCCCGCGGCCGGGCCGGGACACGGCGAATTCAAAATACCTCATGGAGTGGGTGCCTGGGGGAGGGGAAGGGGTGAGACCCAATTTGGCCCGACCCGCCGCCCCGCGCGCCCGGGTCCAGGGTGAGGGACAAATCACTGTCACTGCCCTCCTGTTCATCAATTTGCTCGAGCGGGCCCAGTAACGTCTCCATTGGAGACTTTGTTGTTACTGTGTCTGGCATATCGAATACGTCCCAGGGAGCTTGCCAGGCTCTGCCGTGCGGGTGAGATACTCTCGGTAGCTTGCCGGGCTCTCCAAGAGGGGTGGAGGAATTGAACTCGGGTCGGCCATGTTGGCTGCCTGAAAGGCAAACGCCCTTACCGCTGTGCTATCGCTCCAGCCCAGGGTGAGGGAAAGGGAGGGAATTCGGGAGTCGGTAAAGTGGGTACAAACCGAGAAGGGCGAGATTTAGGAGCACTGGAGGAGTTGAAGGTTGGGGAACAAGGAGGAACACTTGGGGGGACATCCCTAGAAGAGAACGGAGCAACTCCTTCTCGGGGGTCCTGCACAGCCATGCTGAAAGAATCCATATTAGGGCATCAAATTTTTGCGTGCTTCAGCTAACTTGCAACATTGCTTTCTGTAAAACTGTTTGGCTGCTTTGCACCTGGGGGGAGAGGGGACTTGGAAAGTGAACAGGGCATAACTTCTTTCTAAACCAAGTGTGACAGGATTCAGGTGTATTTACTGTTCCTGAAATGTATTGTCTCAGTAAAGCACCCTGCAGACTTGGGTAAAGGACAACTCAGGATGTGGTGGTTAGGGGAAATTGCCCTTTCCTGGAGTGTATTGTCTCATTAAAGCACCCTGCAGACTTGGGTAACTCAAAATGTGGATGGTCAAGGGAGATTACCTAAGGCTTAATGATTCCAGCTATAACCTTGCTTGTGCTGACAATCGATGTACGTAAATGCTTATCTTTGAATCTATAGGCTAAGGGGTGAGGTACTTTTAAATGGATTGGATAAGAAAGAATATGTTGGCCCTAGAAAGCCGGTTTTCAACCCCTGAGCTGCGTGGGACGGGCACAGAGGCCCAGCTCTGGGCAACAAACCTGAAGGGCTCCAATTCCAAACAGGTACAGCCCGCCCCCAAGGGCCTGGGACCCTCTCTGGGCATGCGCAGCTAGATCCAGCCCCTAGAAAGCCGGTTTTCAACCCCTGAGCTGCGTGGGACGGGCACAGAGGCCCAGCTCTGGGCAACAAAACTGAACGGCTCCAATTCCAAACAGGAGACGTTCCCAACTCCTCGCCCAGTGCCAGAGACTCTTTCCGGAGCCGCGGCCGCTAACGCGGCCGTGAAATATTTTCCCACTACGTATGCCATAGGATCCATAAGCTACCTTCTTAGGTGGAAACTTCTCTATTTTAGCTCAGCCTCTAGAAATACAGTAGCCAATAACTCATAAGCCTATCTTAGCTCACACTGCATATCAAGCAGAATAGTAACAGTGAACGTGAAGGACTAAACCACACCTTTCACAATGGTAAAGCAACGCAAAAGCCCACCAAACTTTCATATTGAAGAGTCTAGCCCAGATGACACCAACAGTACTGTAGTGTTAGACAACCTCTCTGACAAGGAATTCAGAAGGGAGCTACTTAGGATGCTTAGGGAATTAAAAGAAACAATGGAAAGGAATGCCAATAGAAGACAAGAGGATCTGAAGGCAGAAATGAGGAAAATGCAATCAGAAATGTCAGACCTGAAAAATCTCGTAGGTGAATTGAAAAGCTCAGTGGAAGACCTCAGCAGCAGAGTAACAGCTGCTGAGAACAGAATCAGCGAGCTCGAAGATGAAGTTCAGAGACTCTCCAGAAAAGAGCAGAAAATGGAAAAGAGACTCACAATTCGGGAACAGATGGCAAGAGAAGATCGTGATGAAGCCAAGAGGGGTAACATAAGAATTATTGGAGTCCCAGAGGGACAGGAAGAAAACCTTGATGAAGAAGAAACTGTCAAAGACATCATTGCTACAACGTTTCCAGAGCTGAAGAAAACTTGTGACCACATTCAGGAGGCCCGAAGGGTACCAGCTAGAAGAAATCCGAATAAAAATACCCCAAGACACATTCTGATCAAAATGACCAAAACCTTAGATAGAGACAAAATTCTGAAAGCAGCAAGATCGAAGAAAGAAATCTCTTACAAAGGAGCATCCTTAAAATTCACAGCTGATTTTTCTGATGAAACCCTCATGGCCCGAAAACAGTGGTGGGACATAGTGAAAAAACTCAATGAAATAAATGCCTCCCCAAAAATACTTTTCCCAGCAAGACTCTCATTCATAATAGAAGGAACAACACACAGTTTCACAGAAAAACAACAGCTCAGGAACTTCATAGACTCAAAACCATGGTTACAAGAACAATTAAATGGGCTACTTTAAGGCAAGAAAGGCCCCTCAAATACACCAAATTTTAACAGAACCATGGGACAAAATCCCATAACAATAATCTCTCTCAATGTCAATGGGCTAAACGCACCAATTAAAAGACATAGAGTGGCAGGATGGATTAGAAAATTGAACCCAACATTCTGCTGCCTGCAAGAAACACATCTCAATAGTCAAAGCAAACACAGACTCAGAGTCAAAGGCTGGAAAACAATCCTACAGGCAAACAGCTCCCATAAAAAGCTGGGGTAGCTATCCTAATATCAGACCACATCGATTTCAGAGTGAAGAAGGTCATAAGAGACAGTGAAGGCCATTTCCTATTGACCAAAGGATCTGTACAACAGGAAGAACTTACAATAATAAATGTATATGCACCTAATGAGAGACCAGCAAAGTACTTAAAACAACTACTCATAGATTTGGAAAAAGACATCGATAGCAACACAATACTAGTGGGAGACTTCAACACTGCTTTGTCACCTCTTGATAGATCAACCAGACTCAAGCTTAGCAAGGACATACTTCATTTGAGGGAAACAATGGAAGAAAGGGACTTAGTAGATATATACAGGACACTTCATCCACAAAAAGCTGAATACACATTCTTCTCAAGCGTACATGGAACATTCTCCAAGATAGACCACATGCTGAGCCACAAAACATGCCTCCATAAAATTAAGAAGGTAGAGATTGTATCAACAATCTTCTCAGACCATAATGCGCTGAAATTAGAAGTAAATCACACACAAAAACAGAAAACTAAATCAAACACCTGGAAATTAAACAGTGCACTATTGAACAACGAGTGGATTAGACAGGAAATCAAAGAGGAAATCAAAAGATTCCTAGAAACGAATGAAAATGAGAACACGAGTTACCAAAACTTATGGGACACAGCAAAGGCTGTGTTAAGAGGAAAGTTTATAGCTCTACAAGCATTCCTCAGGAAGGAGGAGCGAGCACACATAAGTAACCTAACCTCACAGCTTAAGAGCTTGGAGAAGGACCAAAAAAAGGAGCACAACCCGAACAGGAGAAAGGAAATAATAAAACTCAGAGCAGAGATTAACGAGATGGAAACCCAAAAAACAATCCGAAAGATCAATGAAACCTAAAGCTGGTTCTTTGAGAAAATTAACAAGATTGATAAGCCTCTAGCAAAACTCACAAAGAAAGGGAGAGAGAAAACCCTAATAAACCGAATCAGAAATGAAAAGGGGGTCATTACAACAGAAACCACAGAAATTCAGAGGATCCTCAGGGAGTACTTTGAGAAGCTTTATGCCACGGAACATCAAAACCTCGAGGAAATGTGCCACGCCGGTAACGGCGTCGCCCACATAGCAACATGCTGCAAGGGGCTCAGGGAAGGGCCTGAGTCCCTGGGAAGGGAAGGTTCGTGACCTACGGGTTTATGCCTCCGGCAGCCCCCTTTCACTGTTTTTATAGGCGCCTCTGACATGCAGTCTTCACCTGCCATTCTGTGGGAGCATGCCTCCGGCAGCCCCCTTTCACTGTTTTCTAGGCGCCTCTGACATGCAGTCTTCACCTGCCATTCTGTGGGAGCATGCCTCCGGCAGCCCCCTTTCACTGTTTTCTAGGCGCCTCTGACATGCAGTCTTCACTTGCCATTCTGTGGGAATAGGAGCCTGCTTGTTAAATATCTTGATTTAACTTTTGGCCTTGGAAAGATGCTTGCTAGTAGAGTTAATATTAGTTTTTGCAAAATTCTGATTTTTACATGCCTGCTAGTAGAGTTAATATTAGCTCTTATAAAGTCCTGATATTTTCTTTAGTTTATGGGTAGGCGTTTTTAGGGAAATAAAAACTTAATGTCAGTAAAAGTAGACAATTAAGGAATTATAAGGAACATAATATTTCACTCACATATTTTATTAGAACAAGTGGATCTTTTGCCCTAATCTTAAAACAGAACGTGTACGTGCCCCCTGTTGTCTTGGAAACATGACCCATGGCCTGATGTAATGTGTGCTTTGCCACGTTGTTTCTGTAACTGTATAAAAAGAAGAACTCTGGATGCAATAAACCGCAGCAGCACTCAACTTCTCTTGTGTTGGTGTCTGTCTGTCCAACGCGCCGAATCTCCTGCTTTCCTGTGCACCTTCGCCTGGTCCCCCTCAGTCTGGTGGTCTTCGACCAAGCAAGTCTGCGGCAGAAATGGATAAATTCCTAGACTCCTACAGACTCCCAAGGCTGAACCAAGAAGACCTGGAATACCTGAACAGACTTATCACCATCAAGGAAATTGAAATGGTAATAAAAAGTCTCCCCAAGCACAAAAGTCCTGGTCTGGATGGATTCACTAGTGAATTCTTCCAAATCTTTAAAGAGGACTTACTCCCAATCCTCTTTAAGCTTTTCCACGAAATTGAAATATCAAAAACACTTCCAAACAGTTTCTATGAAGCAAATATCACACTGATACCAAAAGAAGACAGAGATACCACAAAGAAAGAGAATTACAGACCGATATCCCTGATGAACACAGATGCAAAGATCCTCAACAAACTACTAGCAAATAGAATCCAAATACTCATCAAAAAGATCATACACCATGACCAAGTAGGATTCATCCCAGGGATGCAAGGATGGTTC